AAAAAAAAAAAAAAAAAAGGAGGAATTTGCACCTCTTACTACCAATTATGATTTTTATTACACTTATATGTCTCTTATATTCTTATTTATAAAATTGCCTAACCAACTCAAAAATATTTCAATTTTACCTGACCTTGGGATGTAACGGTTATTCCCTTTTTTTTTCTGCCATATTAATGCTAATCAGATCCTTAATTATTCTCCTTACCTAAAAGTGATTTTCTTTTTGGAAAAAAAGAACAAAATGAAAATATTAACTCTGTTCACACAACAATCCCTTGATTTGGAATTTTGATATATTTGATTTTCTTGTACACCTATTCAACTTTTTCTTTCTCCTGATTTACTTGGATGAAGCTTTGTGCTATCCTCTGCTACTATTCTATTCTAGTTTTGCGAGCTTGGAGCTTGGTCCGCCATTAATGGCGGGCGTGTACAAAAAAAAAATGGTGACTGCAACTGGTCGTTTTACCGGCCAAGCAAAGTGTGTATATTGAGTATATGTTCAATATATTAGAAGATTTTTTGTAAACTATTAAGTAGAGGTGTGTACATAGAGTATATGTGGTGTGTATTTTGAGTATATGTTTAATATATTAGAAGATATTTTATAAACTATTAAGTAGAGGTGTGTATATGAAGTATATGTGGTGTGTATTTTGAGTATATGTCCAATATATGAGAAGATTTTTTATAAACTATTAAGTATATGTTGTGTGTATATGGAGTATATGTTCAATATATGTTGTTGTATAGGAATATAAGTAACTATTATAATATATTTATGAATACTTTTACGTATAAAAAAAATACATAATTTTTTATGGAAGACATGTTTTTTCATTGAAACATATACTGAATATATATCAACATAAACGCAAAATATACCACTTGACGATGACTGCGTGAATTAAGGAATTAAATGAGTCAGTTATTATTTTTATTTCTCTCCCCTCAATCAAACCCACAAAAGGGGATGAAGATTGAATGAATATGGTAACTTACTTTAGTCATTAATGTAGTTATTTATTACATATTAGGTAGAGATGTAATTATTTATTTATAAATTGTATTTTTGCAATTTTTTTTTAAAATATGGTAGGATAGATTAAAATTTCACAAAAAAAAGGGTCCTTACAGAACATTTTTTTTTTGTTAAAATATAATATTCAAAATAAAATTATATATAAACCATTAAATAACTAAAAGCCCACACACGGGTTTTTCTCTCGGATTTTCTTCGTCGCCTTATCATCTCTCTCGCGCAGGCTCAGTCGATTCTCCGTCGCCTTCCCCAGTTGGGCGTGGCGAGTGCTCGGTGGAGGCTCCCCTGAGCCCCGCAGCCTTTTCCGAGAGTAGTGCCGCGCGGGGGAGGGGGAGCTTTTTCGCCGGGGAGACGGTCGTCCCTGTTCCGGCGTCCATCTTGGGTGTCGGACGTGAGGTGCGGGGTGGTCAATTCTCCTCCGGTATTGTCCATTTCGGTGGCCCTCCGGTGCTCTCTTGGAAGGGGCTGCGACCCCAAATTCCGAGTTAGGGTTTGGGGTGGAGAAAGGGATCCGGTCAATTGCTTCATCCCGTCCTGATTCGGTGGTCGCCGGCGTCTTCAGGTATGATTTGGTGGTGTGGATGTCAGATATTTTTGGGTTGTATGGCTGAGACTCTCTGCTCGGGCCGTGGGGAGTTGGCATCTGCAGGTATGTTGTGGAGTGTAGGTGGTGGGGTCGTCGGCGTCTGTTGGGTCAGGGCTGTGGTTTGAGAGTGGCCGCCGGTGGTGTCGTCAGTATCCGCTGGGCTGCCGCCGGGTTTTGTTCTGTATGATTGGCAGGGGTCGTTTCTCCGGGTGACGGTGGGGTTTGTTCGTCTGGACGAGGGTTGGGCCAACCCGTGGTTCTTCGATTCAGTTAGGCATTCTTGCAGTTTCTGGGTCGGGACTTTGGGCTCGATTCTACCATGGTTGTGCTTGGTGTGGCTTATGCTGTGGGAAGGGCTCTTGTTGGTGTGTGTTTTGTCTAGTTTGTTTTGTTTAGTGTGTGTTGTATTGTGTTTGCCTTTGTTCTTGTTGTTTTGGTTCTTGTTCCGTGTTTTCGGTTTGGGCCATTGGCCTCTGTGCGCCTGAGTGTCACTCTGTGTGCCCATGTGTCACCTTATTACCCTGTTGGGGTCTGGCACTCGGGTATTACCCTTTTGGGGTC